GGGGGGGGAGGGGGGTCCGTCACACGGAGCCTCAGTAGTTCACTTATGCCTAAGTGGCGTGTGACGAGTACTGGCTGGTTTCAAGGCACTGGTGATAACTCTTAGACCCCATTCCCATAGATTTTAGATCGATCTATCCCTGTGGGGAGTCTCACAAGATTACTGTCAGCTTAGCCGGCTTAAGCGTCTGTCCCGCCTACTAAAAACTGTAAGGGGTAATTAACTATGGTGCGTGCTTGGCTGACTGCAATTTAGCGTGAACCCCCAGGGAATAAGGTCGATCTAAATCTCTGGATCGATCTTAATCTCTGGGAATGCACCTTTAGTCTGAAGTAGCAGAGTTGATATGCAGGACAAATGCCACCCGTACTAGACAGTAATGGGAATTGGACCAGGTTTCCAGGCACCTTGTATTATATATATTATATATATATATTAAATACATAGAATTATTTTAAACATGACTTTATTGACCATAGTATGTTGCTACATTACTGAGTGATGATACACAAAAATATATTGCTGCAATATGAGACATCTTAAAACTTTTCAACAATAGTAGCTATATTCAAAACCACATTCATGACCAAATGCCTACTTTTGCCATATTTCTCAAATCATCTTAAAATGAGAACAGAACAAATTCAATCTTTTCCATGTGAAAATTGTAAATTTACAGATAATGTATTTTTTTAAGTCATAAATTTTAAAAATTAAAACATTCATAGTGAGTGGTAATATGTTTAATATTTTCATGCTAACAAAATATCCTTCCAATTAACCCTCTGGTTAAAAACTATATTTCAAGAGTTCTAATAAAATACAATGTCTATATTGGAGTCATAAGATATTATTTTTAACTTAGTAAAAACATACTCTGAGGGTTATCTCCAATTATGTTCTCAGTAATTGAAAATATTTTTTATATTCTAAAACAATGCCTAAAACCACTGGCTAAACAGTGCACTTAATGTTTTACCTCCCTAATCATCAAATGCCATATGAAAAAAAAATATGATTGTCTTTTGCACAATGTACATGTAGCATAAACAGCCAAAAATACTTCACATTTTGTGAGTGTTAAATTAAAATAAAAATTTGATAAAAATACAAACACTTCTTCCAGCATATTACTTAATTCACTCCTATTCACTGTATTCAATTTGATAAATAGGTAAATTTTAGCAATCATAGCACTTTAACTGAGGAGGTTATAATTTTTAATAACAAAACTTTTAATCATTCTAGTTTATATTTTTTTAAAATCACTTAAAATGCCAATGAAGTCCGAGGTACAACAAAAAACAATATTTAATGATTGGCTTCATATTGAGTCAACATAACACTTCCTAAGATTTTCAGAATTTTTCATTTCCAACCTTTTTTCCGTTAAAATACTATAAAAGCAACATTTTTTACTGGTAAAAACATAATATTTTGTACACCATATAATACATATATCAGACACAAAAATACCCATATATTTATAGAAGCAAACATATACCATACATACTACAGTAATAAACTGTATATAGACTGAGCATTATATTCACAATTTAACATAACAAGCAATGTGATAAGGCATCACTATAACAATACAAACTTTAAAAAACAATAAATAGATACAGGCAATAATAATTATAATAACTGGACATGTGTGGAAGCTATGACAACCAACAAAAGACAGCCAGGAGACTTGGATCACTTGTTCAAAATACTGAGAATTTCTAACTAATTTCAATAGACTTCCAATTTTATCCCTGGATATCAAATGTCAACTTCAGCTTATTCCTTGATTCATTCCTTTCCTTTCCAGTACCTTTTTTTTCTTTGCTCATCTTCACTAATAACGAAATGCGTAATAAACATATTAAACTCTGTGAAAGAGAACACTAATTAAAGATACTCACATACATTATCCTCTGCATTAATTATATTAAGCAGATCTAATATTATAAATGTATGCAGTAAACACAGGTTTCCAGTTAATAATTAATTTTAGTGTTACAAACAATATGGTAACAGACTTAAAGAAATCCACAGAACAACAGGAAGAACTAGAAGTAACTGGCAAAGTTCCCCCAAACATGATTGCCCATATCCATCACTTGGTTTTTTCCTATTTCTAATCCTATTTCTGGCGCCACCTATAGATGAGTTGCATTGCATCCAGGGGTACAAGACTGGGGAGAAATTCAAAGGAAAATAAATAAATAATTTCTCTGCATCAAAGATTAATAAAAACCAAATTTCAAGTGTGTGTGTGTGTGTGTGTGTGAGAGAGAGAGAGAGAGAGAGAACTTACGTTTTCAAAAAAGCTAACCAATAAAGAGACCTTGGAATGAAAACCTGCTTCTGATTGGTTAGCACAGCTTTGACAATTCTCTCTGATGCCCCTTTCTGATTATCTGATCTGAAAAAAATATTTTAAAAAGCCTTTCATTTTCATTATACAAATTACAGACACTTTAAACTTTAATAAAGAGAAGGATATTTCTCACATAGAAAGAAAATATTTCGGACACATACATATCTTACTGATGCTGTCAAAGCATTGTAGGATGGTTCTGGAAAACAGACCTGAAAGTATATGAAATGCTCATACTGTAGGACCAATGATGACACTTTGCCAAATAATAAGTACCAGTACCTTTCAATAACAGCATATGTGTTGTATATCCCCCATTCTTCGCAGAAAAACACTTCACTCCCCAAGGTATCTGCCAGCCCCACCCAAGCTGCTGCTGTGGAGCATCTTGTCATATGACTGCTGACATCACTGACATGTTCAGAAGTTGCTATGGTGACAAGGTGGCCATGTTTTTGTTGCAGCATTTTAGCACCAAAATATTTCATCACCTGAAAAAAAATATGGATCAGACATGAGCCTAGGTTTGAAAAAAAAAAAAAAAAAAAAAAACTCTGGGACTCAACACCTAACCTTGACTAATGTCAAGAACCATCAGAATTGATATAAAAAATGAGGAATTCTGTTTTTCTGTGGAAAAAGATCATGTTTGATGGATGCATCTTTTCCTCAAAAAGATAACATGCAGATACATACTAATCAGAAATAATGTAAAACTATTAAATTTTTATGCACATCTTTGTGACGACAAAAAATCAATGGGCATCACCTATAACAACCTAAAAAAGAGGTTGATATTTATAGCAGTGTAGGACATCACAACAGATTTGAAAAGGTGTAACAATCCATGTGAAGCATTGTCAACTTTTAATGGTGAAACTCAGAACATCAACTTAGAAAACAACAGAAACAGAAAACTACAATGTGGCAGATCCATTTTTGACCTCACTCACCAAATCCCACAGCAAAGACTAATCCAATTTTAAGCAACAAATAATTTTTGAGACTTTTGGCAACCTAGGATGATGCCGATTCTTGTCTGGGGGGGGGGGAGGGTTTTGAAAGAATACCCCCTTTTTGACAGGAAAAGGTCTGCTCTGGGTAAAAACTGATCTAGGTTCACAAAGGTGTCATGGTAAAAGGTCCCCTTTTTCAAAAAAAGAACCCCCACCCCACTCAAAATTGTTTGATAGGAGACTGATGTCATATATGGAGCATACCGTCACATTATCCAGTTGGATACTGTCTCCTTACCCACAGTGGAACAAAGAAATTATCCTCAAATGTCTGTTTAATGCTGTCTGGGTCTGCCTCTAGGAGAGTGAGTTTGTCTTTGGGAATCCTATTGGTTATAAGTAGGTCAACCTGACCTAGTTCTTCCATTACCTTTTTCACAGCCTTCTCTGCCATGGGTACACTTGTGTTGACATAAATAAAATTAAAAGCTTAAGTTGTAATTGAAACAAGGCAAACATAGAAATTTTAAAAGTTTTTACAGACACAAAATAAAGAGTGTCAATATATAAAATGAAATATAATGAAAATGATTCAACATAGCCAAAAGTCTTACAAATGAATAAAATGAAAGTATCGTTAAAGGACAGTGGAAGCAGAAATAACAGCAGACTAGTGACTTTGTCTTCCCCCCTTTCATAAACTGGTCTTAAATAAGTCCTTGAACATTAAAAAATGATGGACTAGGTGACCACATGCTCACAGTTTACTCCCTCACCTCCAGGTACTCCTCATTACATGGCACGTGTCGTCCACCCTGACTAGCTGGACATCACTGCCATCACTGTCCTGGTCAGTTAGGGCACCCCAGGTCACCACCCTTGCTCCTCTTGATGAAAACAACAGTGCCATCTGGTGGGAAAGATCACCATCTCCTGAAACAGCAGTTAAAAATGAAGTCAAAAACAATATTTAAAGTGTTTAAAACTGAACTTGTTGATATAATTTATTCAAATTCATCTCAGGCTCATCTCTAAAAATGTAGCAAGCATCAGGCAAAGAGCACTGAAAAAAAGTGCATGTCTCATTGGGGTTTCCATATATACAATTTTAAATATATATATATTCCAAAGATATGTCTAGCAACAGAAGACACCTCCCCCCCCCCCCCCACCTCCCTTCAAAAACAGCTACATACCTACAATGAGCACCAACTGTCCCGAGATGTCCTTTTTCTTGGGCGGCCAGATGAAGTGGACAACTGCCCAGATCAGGCTACTGGTCACTTGACCAAGCAGGCGCAGGGCATCTTTGGCCACATCCATGATGGTGCTGCCTGAAGTATGCAGGAAAAAGACCATTTATTATCAAACTGGGGCTGTAGCAACAGTCTGAAGGTTAATTGGTCCGAATGTTTGATAGTCTGAATTAATGCACGAATAAAGTTCAGCAGATGTGCATGCATATAGTTGTTTGGTTTTTCAGACCAATGAACCTTTAGACCAAAGAACATTTGGATTATAGAAACACTTCCATCAAAATAGAATAGCACTCAGAGTAAAAACCCTTCATTATGGAAATGTAGCTCATATGGCTTTAGATGATTTGAGAAAAAAGATTAAAATGAAGACTTAAAATCCAGCATAATGTGGAAAACTTTCACCCATGCAAATATGTGAATAAAGTTGGTCATTTATAGATATTTATCTAGACTACCGGAAGTGCTATTTTTTTCTTTTTGATAGCTCACAATTCCTTATCACCTTTAGACAATATGAAAAAAATGACAAAAATAATGAATAAAAATCCAGAAATCTGGCATAATCTGGTAAACTTTCACCCATGCCTATAGACTACAAGAAAAAAGTCTCACTCTCTCTCTCTCTCTCAAAAAAAAAAAAAAAAAGAATTATTGGATAAACTGAGACGAGAGCCACAGTGTCAGTTACCTACTAACCTCCACTGTTATCTGATAAAAGAGGTCAGTTCTGAACTATGAAGTAAACAGTACTTGTGTTATCGACCATTTCTGAAACTGAGTCAACAAAAACGTAAACTTTTTCTGAAGTAATGTCCCCCTACCTCTCATTCTGAAACTGTAGGCTACAGGCCTGAATGTTAACTAAACTGATTTCTTCCTGAGTTTATAAACCAAAAATGATACAATGAATAGCTCCAGTATATAAGTAATATTATCAAGCAACTAAGATGGTTGGGAAGGGGGTGGGGTGGGGGGGGGGGGGAGTAGGGGAAAATTAATGATGGGGAGGGGCATTCCTCTTACCCCCAACCCAATGTTTTCTGCATTTAAAAATGACATGATTAAAAAATGTTGGAAGGCTTGGTGAGTCTCCCTAGTCTACAGTGTACCACTACTTTTCTTTCACCACATGCATTTTCACGGAAAAATGGCAGACTTGGCTAAAACCATGTAGATATATACTTATAACAATTATCATGAATTTGGTATAAAATATACACCCTAAAATGTAGGGTGTCATACCATACCCAGACGACTGTGTGCACTGTTGCTCAAGATAAATTCTGATCATTTATAATATTTTGAAATCCTAAACATTAAAGCTTTTCAAATCAATCAATAATTCAATCAATAAATAAACAGATTAAAAATAACATTTTCACTGTTATATATATATGTAGTCAAGAATGACATAATATTATCAAGTCATGGTCGCTTACCTTTCATGTCCTCCTCCTCTCTCTCTCTCTCTCTCGGCTCAATAACAACAGATTAAGTATTAGCCCAGACATAGTGCACACATAACTGACCACTTATCTTGACCAATGTGTCTAGCAAAATATTAGTCGTATTCACACCAGTTTTAACTAACAGACTTAGAACAAACCTTAAGCTTAGACAGTACTCCCATAGATACCATCAGACTATGTAGATCAATCCAACTCTGTGGGGACTCTCGCTGAATACAATCAGCTCAATTGAATGACACAGTTCTTCCTAGCATTGAGTAAAATACTAAAAGCTGGGATTATGTGAGTATGTTGGAAACAAGAGGAGGTGCGTCATTCATTTAAGCTGATTGCTCTCAGTGAGAGTCTCTGCAAAGTTGGACAGATCTTTACTGATGGGGACTATGGGAACGGGGCATTACATACAATGCCCAAAAGACAAGAGCAGATCTAATAAACACAACTGCAGTGGTGTAAAAGGCTGTATTCAGAAAAGAAGTTATTGTACCAGCATAATGGATCTATCTCAGCTAGGATTCTCACAATGGCGCAGTCAATGTAATTGGTCTAATTGTCTGGTACACCCCCTTGTAACCGTACTACTAAGTACTTGGGTAAAATCAGGAAAACTTTGTGGTCCATGTTCTTGTTCATGTCACTGTTGCTTTGTGAAGGGGGCATGCCAGACAATTAAACTGATAACACTGAGTGCACCAATGACATCTTTAATAAACAGCAATTGATCTTAAAAATGTGTTAAATATTTACTTACAAAACAACCCTCTATATGCCATAAGCTGTTTCTTAAATATTTCAATCCCTGCTGTTATAATTCACTTTTTTTTTTTTTTTTTTTTTTGCAAGCTGGCCCATTTAACATGTTTGAAAAACCCTTGGGCTCGTGAGATGGAGCTTATAAGAATACAATGTGTAGGGCTTAACATAATGCCTGATTTGAATTTGAAAGTAGTTTCTACTGAACTGTCAAAAATGTCTTCCTCCAAAAAATAAGTGGTAATAAAAATAATTATATATATATATATATATATATATATATATATATATATATATTTAAGGCTAGAAAGAAAGAAATTTAAGACAACACACACACACAAACACACACTAGTAAAGGGGTAAATGAACTATAATGACTGTTTTGGAAATGAAGACTGATTTGAAACTAAATATGGATAATACAGATTTAGCTTTTCTAAAGCTTTGCATAAACATACATTCAACTTGTAGTAATAGAGTCATTCAGGAAGCAGATCTATAAAAGCCAGTTCACTATTAAAAATCAGACTGACTGAAATAAAATATGCCTTTCATCATGCCTCAGTCAACCCCATTGCTTCAAAGAACATCTGACAATAGCAAGTGTCAGAGGTCGCGTCATGAATAAGCGGGCAACAAAGAAACACGCCGCAGGTGTAACCTTAAAGCTCAGGTAAGTTAATCTTTAAAATACATTGTTTAATGACCTGTTCTTGTCCCTTTCTGAATACAGACAATGAAGAGGCATACTATGTCACATGCCCTCTACACACTAACTCTAATTATGCATGCAGAGGCCTATCTAGTATCTAGTGAGAATGTAACTCTCCTACCTTATTTTTTACTTCTCTGTGTCAAGCCATCTGCCTTCTGATGTTGGCAAGAGGTGATATAAAATATACAAATAAATAAACAAACAAAGAAACAAACGAAACTGGTAAATGAGCTCAATATAGCAATAAGGTATATACATATGTTTACCAGATTTCCAAAATGAATCTAATTTTCCTCAATTAAAAAGAAATAATAATAATTAAAACATTTTCTTCTATTTCTGAATCGACTTGACCTGTCACAAATGGATGTGATGTTTTGTATCATTTCTAAACAAACAAGTTTCAGGTCGCATTCAGAGTGGACTAACTAGTCCGAGGGTCAAATATATGGCCGACCCACTTGAATACTTTCCCACAGTGAATCTATTCGGTGTCTATGAGCAGATTAGAGGGCAAGCTTTTTAGTGGGAAGCCATATTTGATTCTCGGAATAGTTAGTCCACTGTTCTAAATGCAGTTCAGACAAATCATGAATCTTTTCAACCTGCCATGTTTTCCTGGCAATTCAAAAGGCATTAACAAATTCGTGAAAGATCTGAACTCAGCAGTAAAGATGAAATTTAAGTAGCATTGCAGGATATTTAGAGACAACATACGGTAAGATGGATCCTAGTTAAGACATTATTAATATGAATTTGGGGCATTTTCAAATGTGACTGTATAGTAAGTTAACCTTAAAAGTGTTTAATACAGTAACTGTATTTTGTGTTTGTAAACCTATAAAGTAGTAGTTAAAAGCATATATACCCGGTAGTAGACTTCTATTTTTTTTCTTTTTACTGATAAAAATATTCTCAAAATTGGAAATTGATAGGACACTGACTATTATTATGTTATTAAAATATAGTGTACCCTTGGAAACAATGCAATTATGATTATTTAGTCAACATGATATTTTAGTTATTTATTCACCCGCGAAAATTCCATTGTAAGGCTAGAAAGAAAAGAAATTTAAGACAGACAAAACAGATTATCAACGCTTCATCTTAAAAAAAGAAAATTTTGTGTTTGATGATCAAAATAATTTATCGGCAACAATTCACATACAGACCAGCGCAGATTTATAATTTATTTGACCAAGAACAATTAGATATTAAATTGGATGACATCATTGACAAATGCAATTTTGATTTTTTTACAATCAAAAAAATTACAATGCTATGAGAAGAACACAATCTTAAACCAAATGCTGTATTCAAACACAATTAGGTAGAAAAAATACCGCCTTACCTTGCTGTTTTTCGAAAATAGCAATTTGATCAGCGAAACTCATTCATCAATGTTTACGTTAAATGACCCGGAACCGGAAACTGACCTGCTGCAGAAGACCCGTACGTTCGACCTCTTTAAAACTTCCAACATGGCGGATAGGTACGTGAGTCGAAGGCCTGGATAAAAATCTCTTCAATCCACACATATGTCAATCATGGAAAAGACATTGACTTCCACAGCTATTACTTCATTCCGTTTCCTTGTTATGCTTCATGATATTTCTTTAATGGGGTGGTTCATTTTCATGAAACAAGCTCTACAGTTTACCCTATGCACTATCTTTCGTGGACATCTTTCTTTGGTTACACTGCGCGGTTTTAGTGAATGATTGAATTAACCTTAATTAAAGAAGTGTTCTGTCAAAATTTCTACAACCTTTCGTTAGTCTAAGGAATGGTAGACGAATTTAGCATCAATCCAAATTTCTAGATGATAATGTCTGTTTATAAACGTGCTGCCTTGTGTCAAGCTATTAGTAGTAAGTTAGACAAGACTCAAGCTTTACAATACTTGCATTAAGAGGCAAAACGTGTGGATTTTAAGCATTAAAGTTGACACTAATCAAATAGACAGCACAAACTTAAATAAGCCCTCGGCTACAATTGTTTGACATTTCATCAACGAAAATGATTTTTCAGCGCTGGGAAAAGGCTTCCGCAAGTGCCGGAGAGCTTGCTGAAGAAAAGGAAGCAAAATGCCGAAATGAGGGCGAAGAGGGCCAAGGCAACCCTGTTGGCTAAGAAGGTATGTCTTAATAGCACAGTTAATGATATAGAATCAGGTGATCAAGAGAGGATGAGAGAGAGAGAGAGAAATATTGTTTTGTGTATGGTTGAGGGTGGAGGAGGAGGAGGAGATAGGGAAGAAAAAAAGGAAGGAAGGGGAGTGTGACAGAATGCATAGCATAGCTGACATTTTGTCTGCTATGAAATGTAACAGTTCAGTGTGGTTGTTATAATGAAGGACATATCCTTTTAGCAGTAAACATAGAATTCCAAACAGTCATATATTATTGATTATATCAAAATAACCCCACTGTGGCAGGCTTAGAGGGCATTTCCACAGATTTAGAGCGATCTTACTAGATCGACCTAACACCATGGGGTTCACGCTAAATTGCAGTCAGCCGACCGCGCAGTTAATTACCCCCTTACAGCTTGTAGTTGGCGGGACGGACATTTAATCCGGATTATCTGACAGTAATCTAGTAAGACTCCCGACGAGGATAGATCGATCTAAAATCTATGGGAATGTGCCCTTAGTTCTTTTGGTGTCTGCTTTTTGGCCAACCTACATTGACTGGTTTAAATTTTTATCATATTTTGTTATTTTACAAACCACACTTCACAGTGTTCTCCTGTTTCCACTTGCAGAAGCACAGGGCAAACAGGAGAGAAATCTTCAAGAGGGCTGAGAAATACGTAAAAGAATATCGCATCAAGGAGCGTGACGACATTCGCCTGGCTCGTCAAGCCAGGAAGGCTGGAAATTTTTATGTACCAGCAGAGCCAAAACTGGCTTTTGTCATGAGAATCAGAGGGTGAGTCTTAAAACTGTGAAAAAATATTGCTAAATGAAATTGAAAATGGCATCATAGACTATCATTCAGGGCTCCGTATCTCAAAAGGTTCGCTATGTTGCGCACCTGCGTTAGTGTCTTGATTCCATAACCGGTTCTATTTCGAGATACGGGGCCATGAAATCGAGACGCACTTGCACGTGCGCAAGAGTCTCGATTCCATGGCCCCGTATCTCGAAATAGAACCGGTTATGGAATCGAGACACTAACGCATGTGCGCAACATAGCGAACCTTTAGAGATACGGAGCCCAGGTAGACAAGATATACTAAAATCAAAGTTAAATAATTTTTTGAAAATATATGTTCTTTGCAAAAGATTGCTACAAAAATCACTTAAAGTTGTGATGACAGCAATAAAATGACCACTCGTAGCATTTTTCCATATATGTCACTGTTGACACAGTTGTCAATTTTATGAAAAAAAAATCTGCTTACTTTTTCTTCCTCAACCATGCAACTAAGTATCAGTTTGTGTCTTGTAGTGGACATGCTTGTGTGAATTTGTACACATGCATGTGAATGTATATGTGTATACATGAGAGAGGGCAATATGAATAGGTGTATATATTTGCATAATTTATATACCTATGCACACATCTCTCCTGTATTTGTCCATTTCAGTATCAATGGCGTTCACCCTCGTCCTCGTAAGATCATGCAGCTGTTCAGACTGCGCCAGATCAACAATGGTGTCTTCGTACGCCTCAACAAGGCAACAGTGAACATGTTGAGGATAGCGGAACCATACCTTGCATGGGGGTAAGGCATTCTCCTGCTGATATTTTAGTAATATCTGAATCTAAACGTTTTGTTGCTGAGTGTTTTGGGTCTGAGTAACAGTCTTTGTTATAATACTATTCCTAAGTCTAATGCCAGTAAAAGCTGGGCCTATAATTTCTTTTGTTAATTCTTAAATCTGTTTAAATGTTGTCCACTATCTTTATGTTGGTGCCACAATTGTTTTAGACTTTGGTGTCCTTAAGTGCCAATAGGTGAAAAAGTCTTGCCACAGCTGGAAGTAAACTGCAAGTTTTTAATGTGGAAGTTGGTACCAGTGTTTGATATGAAAAGTTTCCTTGTGAACCTGGCTCATGGTCATCACTGTTAAAACCTGCTAAACCAGATGACCACTGGGAAAATTTGAAGCATAATAAATGGAAGTATTCTACTTTACAGCTACCCCAACTTGAAGAGTGTGCGTGAGCTAATCTACAAGCGTGGTTACGGCAAGGTGAACAGCAAGCGCATTCCCCTCACAGACAATGAGATCATTGAGAAGCAATTGGGTGAGTAGAAATTAAACACAGGTTTTTGATACAGTATAGCTGTCAATTATTGATATTTTTTATGTGGGTTTAAACTGGTAAATGAATTTTTTTTGGAGAATGGGGATGATTTAAGAGAGTTTCTTGAAGATTTGAGTTGGGTGTGTTCATAATGATTACAGCTAATACCAAAGAAAAAACACCGTACAAAAAGTCATTATAATTATAAGATTTGTTTGAGATCATGGTGATTTTAATTAGTTGTCAATAGGAGAAAAATTTCCAATTTAAATTTTTCTTCAGGAAACGGGAGTTGTCTTCTATAGACGGGCTTTATGAGTTCAGAATTGGATAAATATAAAAATAAATGATATTGAAACTGAAAAAGAAAATGTGACTCGAAAATGGATGCTGAGTAATCTTCATAATTTATTCCTTAATTCCAGGTCAATACGGCATTATCTGTATGGAAGATCTTATCCACGAGATCATGACAGTGGGCCCCAACTTCAAGCAAGCCTCTAATTTCCTCTGGCCCTTCAAGCTCAACACACCCAACGGCGGCTGGCGCAAGAAGGCCAACCACTTCGTAGATGGTGGTGATTACGGAGACAGGGACGTCAAGATTAATAATCTTTTGAGAAAAATGGTTTAATAAGTTAAAGAACTGTGCCTCTGATGTCCGCGAAACTTGTCGGAGAAATAAATTGAAGTGAAAGTCAACTGTGGAAGGAGGTCGAGAAGTGGATTGCTTGGAAAGTGTCTGCTTTTCATTGCAGTTGAATTGCCATCATTGTTTACAGAAATTATGAGAAATGAAAAATAAAAAAATAAACTATTGTAAAGAAAATACAGCTTTGTTTTATGTACAGTTTTACATTTTCAACGCCAGCCTTGCTTCTTTTACCCAAATATCTAAAGCAGTACAGCCAACTACATAAACCTATTATTGTTTATTCAGGGAGGAAAAACTGCTAAATTATTTTCATTTTTGTTGCCCAAAATTATCAGGGATTTGGAGTGATACTGGCATCGACTAAAGTGAATTAAGCCAGATGGAGTTTGGTGGCATCCACGTAACAGTTCTAAGCAATGCCACAGAAGTGCTAATGATGGAAGCAAGTTGTCAGTGATAAACGCATATGTAATTTCATCATATGTTACATTTTATTAACTTGGTGCAAGACTCGAAAAAAATTCTTGAAAAATTAACAATTTCATTCCACGTAAAGACTTAACAAATGCTATCCTAGATACAAAACCATGTGATAAGTCCACTTAATGAACAACTAACAAGCCTCTGTGGACAAACAAGCACAATTATTCCAAAATTCAGATATCAATTTACATAATGGCAACAATTCATATAGTATTACACTATCTTATCTTACAATTCATGGTAAAGGTAAAACGGTATTTTCTTCAACAAAATAATCAAATAATTAATACAAATTTACAAAAGTGGCTGCCTCTTCCCCAAAATGAATGCTGCTGGCTGTCCAAAGATGAGTAACCATAGCAATAGCACAAACAAATGGCAAGGTTACTTCTATTACCTGTCACTCTTGACACCCATTTGCTACAGAATCACAGAAAATTTCAGTGAGCCATTTTCCACCTCCATTAAATAAGTTGTTAACATGGAAATGGGGGGAAAATCAATATTGAGATTCATAAATGGACTAATATTTACTGGCTTCAAATCTATCACTCTAACCTGATTTAATTTGTTAAATATATCACTTTTAAATTGGCCATATAAAAGGACAAAAAAACGGTACATATTTATACATTATTGCAACACCCTGGTATCCGAAATGCCCTTTTTTGTTTTTACCGAAATATTGAAACATCTCAGTATTACAATTGAAACATCTAAATATGATAAAATGCTGACAGTATGTGGAATATAATTTCTAGTAAATTTTTCTTATTTTGCCAATCTCTATAAAAATGATACTAAATCTCCCTGAATCCTATCGTATTATGATCTTCTAAATGTCTTATTAAGGTGCTTGTAATAATTTAATGCCAGAGAATAAATAAATGCAGTGCTTCCACTTAGAAGAAAGCCAAAATAATTAAAATTTGGCAGAAAAATTACTCATCTTTGCCAACCTTAGTGGCAATTCTTCTTTCTATATTACAAGTTAGAAGGTAATCAGTAGAAGAAGCTTGCAGTGATGCCTGTTTTACAACTGACTAGTTGACCTTTTTAATGAATTACTTCATAAATTGGTTGTCTAGAAATTAGTAGCCAAGTGAGAGTCTTCTGACATCAGTCTTTTAAGTCCAAAGGAACTACCTGTCATACCGTCTTCTTAGAAGTACTCAATCATTGTAGACTGAGTAAGCTAATATATGGTGTCCTCTGGTTTTGCCAATGTTCTAATTAATATGGCCAATTCTGCCCCAGTTTCACAAAAAGAGTAAAAGCTTGCTGGTCTGAACTTTTAAGACAGAAAGAATTTGGTGTACCAGTACTTAAAACCAGGAGAGACATGTAGTTGTCCATTGAATAATTTAAGTAACTCGCATCCTTAAACATAAGCAAGTCTGCCTTAGTAAAACATACCCCCACATACCCCCTCCTTCGAAAGGCCTAACACTGACTTTTTTGAATGAAAGTACACATTCAGAATATTTTGGTATTTTTACTAAAGACTGACTTTTGACTCTGTCTTTACAGCAGCTGAAGTCCACAGAGTCTTTTACTTCTGTACATCATAAGAGACTGGTTGAATTTAACACATCGGTCACAGCAGCTACAGTTGAGGATGGTGATGACGTCGGTGATGGTGTTGGCACTCCCCCACTTCCAAACACCTCATCCAAGATGATACGAGAAGAGAAGGCGAGGGCAAAGGCGAGAATGACCTTGAGAATGTCACCGTATGAGAGACGATACCCAAACAGCTGTAACAAATGTGCAATATTTGACTAATGATATCCATCTTCTATAAACAATATTCCATAAAATGTTTAAAGTTTTTGTTCACTTGTGAAATAAGTAAACACTATGACCATTAAAAGGAAATTGCAATTATCCCCAATCCATTAAATAAAATAATCCAAACATTGAGTTTAACTTAACCTTACATGTTGGATGACCATTGATAGCTAGATCATCCACATGCACTCAGGCACACAAAAACATGCACATCTATCAAAGTCTAGTAAAAGTAATCCAAACATTGAGTTTATACATTCATTCATTTACTATTGTCTGCTACTTACTGTCATCTCCAGTGGGTATTTCTCCAGGTAACTCAGCAGCCCCAGTCTCTCTCCAGTGGGACACACACACTGAAATGGACATACAGACATGTACCGGTAAGGTATGAATTGGCAGCTAAGTCAAACTAGTACCAAGTTATTTTATACAGTATTTTGATCAACACTGACAAAATGAAAAAGGGATTGGTCCACAAAAAAACGTCAACCATTATTACAACATCCCCATGATTTCATGCCGTGAGGCCGAGAGAGAGAGAGAGAGAGAGAGAGAGAGAGAGAGAGAGAGAGAGAGAGAGGGAGGGGTGGGGGTGGGGGTTAGTCAACAATTTCAAAAATGGGTTTTTTATCTGATTAGCTCCACCTTGTTAATCCCTCGGTTGACCCAACATACATAATGGCAGAAAGTCAAGATCATATTTCAATTTACAGTGGACTTTTCCTGGGAAAATGGGTGATTTTATCAAATCTCACGATCCCAACCCTAGTCTACCAGCCGAGAGGTAGTACCTTTACAAGCCTTGTTGCTTCATTGTTCACCTCAGCAAAGGCAGAACACACCAGAGGTAGAAGACACAGTGGCAAGGCAACCTCCAGTATCCCAGCAATCGTTGCCGGGTGAGACAGCCAATAGATGACGTAGTTTGCAGACCAAAGAGTGATGAAGAATATCCATGAGGCCAACCATCTTTGCATCGCCAGGGATGTGGCTCGTAGACGTGACTGAAATAATGAATAAAAACGATTTCTTGTTGCTTTTACTTTAAATTAATCCTACCATGTTACTTCAACTATTACATGTTTCTTAATCACTTCATTTGCTCAATGCCATGATGCTGACTCAATGTTTGTATAATAATGATTTTGAAGAATTATCTTTTACGTAGATTTTCAAAGAATATCATTCAGATTTACACTACAACCTAACCAAGGAGGATGAACACAGGAGGTTTGTTCTGCTGAAATTGTGAACATTTAGAACACTACCACCAATAGATGGTATACGTCAAGTGTCTGGCATAGTGTATAGTGGCATGGCAGTATAGATATCTCTTTTTTATATATTTTTTTAAATCCTACAATGGTAAACACAAATCCTGCAATACAGCTTACGATACAATCTAATGGATATAAAAATCTTAAAAGAAATTATAAATTTACTAAAAAAAAAAAAAAAAAGGTTTGTGATACTTACTGATATTCTCCAATATGAGACCAAGATATCTTCATTTGTAAGAATTTTAGACATTAAGGCCTCACTTCCAGTCTCAGACTGACAGCTTGCCCTCTGCAAGGAAAATATTTAAATGTTGTATTTCTATTTCCATGTTACACATTTTATATTCCTGATAATGTATACACCAGAATACAGTGACTCTCATCCATATAATTGATGTCTGGTCATAATTCTTTTTATCATTCATTTTAAGGTTTTACTTTTTGATTCACAAAAGAAAAAAAATGAAGTTTTTTCATAACTTCCAATCATTTGTACTGTATCAGCAGTGGGGAGTGTCCATCAGCTACATTTATAATAACATCCAAGGACTCTTTGGAGAACCATAACTAACCTCTTGGTAGTTCCGCAAAGCTTCACATTTTCAAATTCTTTCAGAAAGTACACATTTGACAGAAACCTAAACACTAAAGCTGAAAAAACATGGAAGGGTACACAGGAGGATACAATGTCTAAGCAAAGTATACTTTTATAGCTGGTAGTAATACCTTATGTGCCAATAAGCATGGACTTGGAGTGAGATCCACGCTGCAGGAAGCGCTGATATTTTCTCCGTCTTCTTCAATATTCAGCAGCACACTGTCTTGGTCTAAATTCTGACCCCCTGCTTTCCTCTTCTCATCATTTTCATTACTACAAGCTGGTTTTGATTCCACCTGGGCCTCATCTTGGTGCTGCTGTTTATCAGATGCAACTATTTTCCCTTTTCTTTGCTTTGCATCCTGGTCCTCCAGCTCGTCGTCTGTTGCAGACGTCTGTCTGTTTGTTAGTCTTCTACCTCGGATGTAGCTTCCATGTGGGGCAGACAGGCTGATCTGGCGTGGTCTGCTCATGAAATACTGAAAAGCCACAATGTCTTTCCAATTTATTTGATATCCTTATATTAACATACTGCCATGGTATAGATCTCAACCAATTTTTCTTTTAAAATGTTTTAGAAAACAAGTTCTAGAAAAATGCTACATTTCTGATATTCAGTTTTACAATGAAACAATATCTAAAAAATATTCTAAATTTCAGACTACAAATTTAAGTACAGTACCATCTTCCAAATTACTTCGTATATACCTGTTCGTCCTGAGAAGTAGAAAGTCCCATTCCCTGTGGTAAGCTGGAAGGCAGTGAGTGCTCTCCCGTTCCCTGTGCTCTCTGGTTGGGGATATTGACATTCCGTGAGGGAGTAAGATGGGGGCGCTGTCCGGGCATGCCCAGAAAGTCACTGTCCGACAGTATGGTGAGGTCATCATCCCACATGTACTGGTCTAGTAAATTGGTTAAAATATGATTTTTTTAAACTAAATCTGTCAAAACAAAGCAATTAACAGTATCAATTACAGCTATAAGAGACCATTTCCAGATCCTATCGTACTAACTTTGGATCAAACTATCTCCAAGGGGATTCTCAGTTAATTGCAATCAACTGAAGCGTTTATATGTCTGTCACATATTGAAGCTAGCATTTAGCAGCTTTAGTAGGAATCCCAGACATCTAAGCCATTTAAGTTGAAAGCAATTTAGCGAAAAACCCTGTGGAGATGGTCCGATCCTGTTAGATGGATCTAGGGATGGTAACCCAGTCCAAGTGACACTATATCTTTGGATCAGATACTAGGTGATGCTGTATACTGTGCCTTCAAATCAGATACTGACCTGAACAAGGAAAGTGTGCATTCAGAGATTTAATATTTAAACAATATTCATGTGTTAACTGTATTAAATAGGTGCAACATTTCATTTACATTTTAAATGGAGCACTGCTTATTTACCTTGAATCAAAGATATAGGGAATTTTCGTTGAAAAACAAAACTTTATTAGACCATTATTATTATAATAATAATTATTATTATTATTTTGTAAAATAGCCCCCTTCTGTGTGTACTTCTTTACCTTCTTCCAAAGGATCATAGTAATAAGAGTCTGCATGTTGACTGGTCATTAAGTACTGTGTCTGGGCCGCTGCGATCTTTTGTCTGTAGACAACATAGGCTTTCCCGTCCTCCTCTAAAACTTTGATGAAACGGCGAAGACCTAAAAATAAAAGAAAACGGCTGATTTGCTGATTGATCGTCCAAGTAATTTGAACAAAAATGAAAAAAAAAAATTAAAAATCACAATTGTTTGCTAATAGGAAGGTTGGTGCTAAAAGAATTAATAGAGGCTTTTTTCTCTCTTTGTACAAGATTTCTTTGGGCACTGCCTGTGAAGTTTCTCACAATTCTTCTACATTGTCATTCTGTCCCTTTGGCCTTCAGCCCCTGCCACCCCCCCCCCCAAAAAAAAATAAATAAATAAATAAATAAAAAATGAAAAATAAAAAAAACTGACATAATTTTTACTCTTCATTTTCTCAAGAGTTCTTCAACCACAGAACCTTTAAACTGTCAAAGTTATGCCACGGAAGATTCAGAAAAAGATAATGCCATTAAATCATAATTACTGGTCTAAAATCGTATATGGTACTTACCTATGGTGTGTGTACGGCACACCGACAGCATGACAAACCCAACCAACAAGTTCCAGACCAGCGTAAAGAAAGAAATCCCTACATGACAGACATAGCGCACATGACAGATCATGGGGTCGAGGTTAAGGTAAAGGCCATGGCACTGGTTCTCATCGAAGTTGTCGTAGTTACGGACCAAATTTATGACAACGACTGTTGTGGCCATGATCCCCATGACTGTGGCAGCACTGATCTGGAAGTTTGATGAAAAAATCGAAGATGTAATTATAAACATAATTTAAATGAAATTCAATAAGGAATTTTAAAATGAAATACTAGTAATACCCGTCTAGTGCATTTTAATACAAAGATCATACCTGCCACAGGCATAAAGCACTTTTGTTTCACATCATATTGTGAAAGTCCTTGCATTTAATTATCCTTTACTAACTTTCATAAGTTTGCTTCCAAGTGGTTGGATCAAAATTAATCTCGTTAACAGAAAGTGTTGAATGAAGAGACTCAGTTTAGATGACTCTGTTACATGATAGTTACATTTAAATTCTCAATCTCTAAAAATGGTACCTTACAGGAAGGGATCATATGAAAACAGGTATGAATGGTAATTATAAAGACGCATGCCATAGTCATGTAATTTTTCCCAAATTTCAAATGACACACTTTTTTTCCAATATTTTCCCTTTTTTACTTAGTTTTCAACATTCATCAAATATTAGTACATGTAAGTTACTTAAAAGAGTGGCTGATGATGTCCTTTTTACCCAAAAATTCTCACTGCANTTTTTACCCAAAAAATTCTCACTGCACTGGAATCAAAATAATACAGAATAACAGCCAGATATGTGAATGTCTAGCACAAAAATATCTGAGACCCTTACAGAGGGTGCCTAATACGTATCACATACCTTGAGTATTGTCTTTGTGTGCATCCTGACACACTCTCTAAACTTCCTGTTACTGAACAAGTTTCCTGCCACCAGGTTTGCGTACACCCCCATGGCGCTCCACACCAACCCCACCAGCATGTTAACACAACCTGTCATCAATGTCTGCTTGGTGTACAAACTATAAATATCATAACCTATAAACCAGGTATTGGTGATCATGTAGCCAATACCAAAAGCTAACGTCAGCACATGCAGGAGCGTTCCAAACCATGGTTTGTCGAGCTCGTGAAGTTTGATGCCCAGAGATTTTGCGAGGACGAACCAGGCCCAGTTTGGCAAGTGACGGGATTGTTGGGTGTGATATTTTTTTACTTCTTCTGTAGTCTGGATGCTGTCAACCCCAATGGCATCTGTCTCTGAGAGCCGGTGTAATACACGACCAGGGTGGCTCCTGTTGATGGAGACATAGGCCTCGCCCTCTGGTGGAAATCTGGAACATTAAAATATAATAAAATATTATGGTTATCATCAACATAGTTTACACACCTAAAATATATTATTTTCATATATATTAATTTATTAACTAGACAAAATCCAATATCTTAGGTGCCTTAAATTTGAATTTAATCCGAAAAAGGTTTTTTGCTGATATCCTGCAATAAATATAGATTTCTGGAAGAAAATGCATAAAATACCAGAAACCTAGTAAACATATTTAAATGTACTTCACTTATTTTCAACATAACAAAGTTTCTTTCATTTTATCCCAAAAAATCATTCAAGACAAGAAATGCAAACTTACACAGGATTGTAAAAAAACTGCATTAAATTTCTCTCCCTAATATAGTTCATTGTGTCTGGTGCATTTCAACAAATACATGTAGATTTATGTATTCAGTTAAAGGCAGCTCCACATGTTACTCATCCAACATTAATCTAAGCCAGATTGCAGTGTGCATCCAATTAAGCACTAATGATAAAAACACAATTATGACGATTGATCAGGAAATATAAAAGCAAAAAAGCATGATAAATACTTCCAATATAGACTTTATCTGAATGTCAAATAAAACTGCGGTACCATAACCTAAATCATTGCTGCATTCACACTAACACTATCTGGCACCGAAATTAGTCTACTGCAGTAAAATATGTTGAATGGCAAAATAACAGAAAGACTGGCCCATCATTCATTCAAGTGCATGTACCTCTTAAGACTTCTAAGACTGCCTCTATCATCACTTTTTTTGGACAGATAGTTGGTGTTTTGACTTCTCTTTATATCCTTTTTCGTGACATCCACGTGATTACTGTACAAGGCACACATGATGCAGGCTTTGGAGCTCTTTTCTTTCACACCTCAAGCAAAGTGCAGGAAAAAAACTTTCTCATCAAAACTGAAGGGTGAAAACCTGTAATTTCTTTCCAAACTCAAAGTCACTCAAACAGTCTGCAAATTTTGAATTCTCTCATATAATGAGAGTTCTCAAAATATAGTAGTCTTGAATGAATAAGGTCTGGGTATCATCCAAAGATCGCCAGTCTTAAGTAATGCGCCTTCCACCAAGTCCGGAATAAAAAGTCAAAAACAAATATCACATTAGTAAAGACACTTCTCAGATGCACAATACTGCAGCATATTTGGGATCTCCAACCATATCAACAATGAAAAGGCTGTAGTCATAAAACCTTTGGAGATACCCACTGTTGAAGAACTGTCATCTCCATTTCATTATTATGTCATCTTCAAGTCACATTACTTTAAGTATCATCATTTCCATCCAGTCCTGCTGTTTGAAGACTGTCCCACAGATGAGTACAAGAATACTTAAACTCATTGCTCCACACTAATTCACGTCAATGTCAAGGCCACTTGCCTTAGGTAAGTGTCACTTCAGTTCCACACTATCAACAAGAGATGTCTTGCTTTCACGTGATAATAATGTGAATGTTGTGATTATCATCACACTGAGGGGGGAAGTGGGGAGGGAGGGTGGGTGACAAGTTGCTGCTTTAGTGAGGGTGGAGAAGGGGGGTGCAAGAGACACCCAGTGCTTTATTTTGTTAAATGACATAATTGTTTCCTTTCCATTGATATTCTGAACCCTAACAGCAGACAAAAAAATTAATTAAATAAAATTTGTTTGCATAAGCGTCCTCATTATAAAACAGGCAATCACTTTTCAAAATGCATAACAATATATTCTGGTGATAAAACAATCCAAAAAGATCTACTTGCTAAACAAACAGGCCTCTCCCACCATCATACCAGACAGTGTCAGCATATAGAACAATTTTTTTCTTAGTCACTGATAAGAAATATGCTTTGCATAAGGCTGAATGCTTCAACTGTCTAGGTCAGATACACCTGCAATATAAATACATTGTGTCCTCACAGCGCATTTCTGTCACCGGCACTAGCTTAGAGAGTTGATACAGGCTATATACCTATACTAGTAGTATAATTATCAGGCTTCTAGCAAGAAAGTTTTCATTTCTAAAAAAAAAAAATAAAGAAATAAAAAAAGTGGGAGTCAGGTGTTTGTGTGTGTGTGTGTGTGTGTGTGTGTGTGTGTGTGCGTGTGCATGTAGGAGGGGTGAGCTCTAGAGGGACTTCCGTACTTATTCACTCCCACTTCCTTTTCAATCACATCTCAGATAGCATTCAGGCTAGAAGAAACTCCACCCCCCTTCCCCAAGAAAAATCTGACATATACTAATACATTTTAAATAAAATCTGACGTGTTAGATAAAATAGTCTTCAGGCTAAGGCTATAGAGAGGGCGTACACCAGAGGGCAGTGGAGAAGATGAGACCAACAGATAAAGCGTCGCGCGCCTTGCTAACCACCAATCAATCTTTATCATTTTAGACCCAAGTTAAACATTAACCCCTGGCGATATATATTATATCTCTGTCGGTACTGTATGACGGCTGATATAATCGAGGCGGATCTATATCACGCGAGGGTCAAATAGTATCACGCGCTCGTGCCGGGAGGGCTATTAGTAGTTAAAAACCAACCAACCTATCGCCTCAACACCTTAGTTGAACTTGAAGAGATCGCGCGAACTTTTGTCTGCAGCAAGCACAGTTCAACGCTAACAATATTCTATTTATCTGTATACCTACCTTTCGTCGTCCGACATTTTAGTATCAGCTCACTTTAGATAAGCGAACTAAAATGGGGGTGTTTCTTTGCCATTAAGCGTGCCGATGAGTAATCAGAGAGATTTAAGAGATTTAAGGATTGCCCGCCACCCAAGGCAACCTTGTGGGTGTCGCCATTTTGGAAATCATGTGACCATGGTCTTGGCTTTATGTGGGGCGCATCTAACACAATGTCACAATCGTAGCTCAGCAAGGACCGTAATGCGCTTGAATTTTTATGGCAAAGATTTTTTTTACTGGCGACTTTTTAAAGTCAATCAAAATGCCCATTTCGTGCAATAAGACATAAACAGCATAATAAATAAAAATATAAATAAATAAGTAGGTCCCGCATAATTTTCGATACGTTTTATTCAAAATAAATAGATGATTTTTTACTGTTTTACAAGCGCATACCCGGTACATCTCCCCCTTAAAATTCAATGTCTTCTGGGGATTTACCATGCACAGCAAATTAAAATGCCAAAAAAGGGAATTTTCTCTAGAACTATAAAGATAGCTATTGGCCGTGTTCTTGTTTAGGCCTACTTTATAATAATTATATATTATTATTATTTTTACGTTGTTTTCATCCTATTCTTGTTTACTTATTTGGTTTACACTTGAGTTAAAAACGAAATCCTCACACTCTTCCATAACCTTCGCTTAGACGCTTAACGATTTTTTTATCTGATTATTTAACAGAACCAGGCGGTATAGCAAAACCTGCTAACTGTTCAGTCTTCAGAATAGAGTTATAAAAGCACAGATAACATTTTTCAATAAAATGATTATTTTGGCCTTTCTTCCAATATCCGTTTTTTCATCCTAATACGAATATAATATTCCATATGATGACGTTTTAGATAACAGGGGTGGATCCAGAGATATTTTCTGACACTCTTCCAAATTATGTTTATTGATCCATCCTCCAATTTTGACTGTCTCCTGACAGAAAAATTAGATGCCCGTCATGGTAAACTTTAAAGATTCTGACCGTCTTCCGGATGTCCTAGAAGACGCGTCCTCCGTCCGCCTCTGGATTAAATGTAATCTTTCCTCCTCGCATATTTTTTTTCTGATGCAAACTACTCACGTTAAAATGTATGCTCTTCCACAAATATTTGAAAAATGAATCACAGTTACAAAAAATTCAGAGTTACATGATCACTTGATGAGCAATTGAATCCTTTCTTTCATCCTGCCCTTATGTTTCTCTCCCCCCTCCCCCCAAAAAAAAAAAAATAAAAAAGGGGGGGGGAGGGGGGGCAAACAGATAAGTTCTCACCAAATTCAATTGAAAAATAACATTTTTATCTCAGAAGGGTTCTGGCATATTTGGTCTTGCTCCAAACCCTGTCCGCTTCGTTCTCTTCATGAATCACTTGTACACGAAACTCATAGGTAATCCCAGGTTTCAGACCGCTTACGATACAGTTATTACCCTCCGCTTGCATGCTCTGGTACTCCTTAGTCCCGATCTCGCGATATTGCACGAGATATCGGCCATTCGTCAGCCCGGAGGGGACGCCCCACCGGAGCTTTATGGATTGTGACGTTTTCGGCTCTAATCGGAGAAGGAAGCGTCGGCCGAAAGTGGCCCTCATACATATCAGCATGAACGTTTTGTACCCCATGGTGCTGAAACAGAAATGAAATTGTTGCAATAAACCACGTGTAATAATAATAATAATAATAATAATAATAATAACTCATTGGTGATTACCAGAGCCGCCCTGCTTTGTTCCAATGATTTGTAGACGTCTGAAAAGAATCACGATAAACGTAAAAACGAGGGAACAACTTAATAAATGTATGCATATGATTTAACAAATATATAATTGAATTAATAAAGAATAAACAGGTAGTTGACCCGAAAAAGAGGCAATGCAATTTGTTTTACGCCTCTCTTTAGAAATATACTCATTGTGAAGGGCTATTGTAGGCGTGCTTAATTTAAGATGGACACCAACGCTCTTAATGTAGTTATCGAAAAAAATGGCGTTGCCGCTGCGGTCTTGTGTTAAAGAAACACTCTCTCGATGCTCTGTGGTATTCCTTTCACTTTCAATAACGATCTCGCATGTTATGAACTGGGAAGTGCAGGCTAACTTGGCAACGGTAACATTAACTTTTCCCTTGCGGTCTTTTTTCTCCATATCGGTTTTTCCTACACAATTTCCTGGAGACATTTCTCAGTTTCCTAGATCTGGAGGCGCTTTATCTCACACAGAATTTATGATGGCTTTTTAAGAGGTTCGCATTAGTACTTTATATTATTCATTGTTCACTCTATGAAAAAAAATGTGTTTATCAAAGGTATTTACATTATGGAAATAACCGAACAAACTCATTTATTTGAATACATTTGCTTTAAATAATTTATCATGAAAAACGCCAAGGGAAACAAAACATATCATCACAAAATTTTAAAACTAGATATATATTATAATCATCTACATTTTATTTTTACTTTTTATTTCATCTGTATGAAGCATATTTTGGACATAGTGGTGTATAAAATATAAAAATAACAATGCAATTATAACATAACAAATAGAGGGACGGGCGGTCTTTTTGTGAAAATGTGAACTTTTTTCCTCCTTAGTTGACACCACGAAATGGAATTTAGATTTATTGGACATTTTTGGGAGAATCTTTCGATTCCCCAATAGGGGACTCGCCTACAAGTCCGTTACAAATCCTCGTGTTAGTGCAACGCAGACATATGGCTATTCTTACACGAACTGCCGCACATACGTACACACAATAGAAACTCACGCTTAATCCATCATCATAATCAAAAACAAATTAGAGCCGCAATATACTCACAACGGCAGTCGTGCTCCCATCAAATACTCATCCCAAGACCAAATTTCTTTGATTTCCCGGATTGCCGTCAGATAAAGAGAGAAGCTGGTTATTACAGAGAAGGCTTTTCTCATGTTTTTTTTTTTTTTTTTTATTTCGAACCACCCCGTGTTTCAACACGTCATATTAGCCTTACATTTATGATTTTACGTTTATTTCTTAAATAGCTAGTTCTATTACATGCATTTCTATGTATTATACATTTACATGTAGAAATAAATTGTTATAATTGTTATAATATAAAAAAATGTTATACAATTTATAACAAACCCTTGCGCGCACGCACGCGTCTGTGTGTGTGTGTGTGTTTGTGTGTGTGTGTAGTGGGGGGTGGGGGTGGGGGGTAAAAACACCCTTATTACCGCTTTTTGACGGGAAAAGATCCGCCAATCATACACAAAATTTGATCTAGGTTCCACACCCGCTGTATATATATATCATTTCCTATGTTGGGTCAACTAGGGGAGAGTAAAAATCCATTTTTTTTTTTCAGAAAAAAGATTCAAAGCATTTTTAAAGGCGCACTTTTTCAGAAAAATACTCCCCCCCCCCTCCCTTTGAAATTGCTAGCTAAAGGCCTGGGATCTGATAAGTTTTCTAGGAAATGAGCAGAAACTCACATCCTGTATCAGCCAGTCCCCTTGGCTCTCTGACATCCTGCGGACTCAGGGTAATTCCCGGTCGATAGGAAACCTACCGTGCTTGGTTTCCCTGCGACATTTGAAATCTAACAAAATTATCCTCATTTCTCGAAGATACCAATGAATACCAATGAGTGTAGATCGAGAATAGTGTTTCTCTCAAAATCTCAAATTCGTATCGATCCAGACACAAAAGAAGGCGCACAGCGTCGCAAATGATCCATACAAATTGTCCCTTAAGCAGTTTGAGGAATGCATGTATCTCAATGCGATATTCGTTTTCAATTTAAGTCGCTTTTTTCCCCTTTATGTTTGTGCATGTATTATATGTGCCTATGTGTGGGGAGGGGTGTGTGTGTGTGCCTGTGTGGAGTACGTGTTTGTGTGCGTGTCGGGGTTTCGTGTTATTTGTACGTGTGTGGGGAGGGGTGCGTGTGTGTGCCTGTGTGGAGTACGTGTTTATGTGCGTGTCGGGGTTGCGTGTTATTTGTCCGTGTGTGGGGAGGGGTGCGTGTGTGTGCCTGTGTGGATAATTACGTGTTTGTGTGCGTGTCGGGGTTGCGTGTTATTTGTGCGTGTGTGTGGGGAGGGGTGTGTGTTTGCGTGTATGCATGGGGGTTTGCGTGCATGTGTGTGTGAGTGGGGGGGGGTGCGTGTTTGTGTGTGTGTGTGTGTGTGTGTGTAGAGGGTGGTCCTGGAGACTACTAAAATGTACGTCTCTGTCTTAGTTACAGTAATGTGGAGATCAAAGACATCGACTCGGCATCGAAATCTATACGTGATGAAGACGAATTGCCCATTTAATGTAAAGATGATGCCCCGACATGTTCGATCGATCATACACAGCACAAGTAAACAAGCTCATCGCTTTTTTTTTCGAAGCAGAAAGTTAGGCAAGCTCTATCAGAGAGTCTTGCTCCCTTAGGCCTAATTAATGTAAATTTCTAATACTGTATTAACCCACTGTATAGTTATAATGATATCGTTTGATCCGCTCTATTCAGTCATTTAGTATGTTTGTACTGTAAGTTATTTATATGACTCCTTAAGTTAAATTACGGACACAACTTGTGTGTGTGTGTATGAGAGAGAGAGAGAGAGAGAGAGAGAGAGAGAGAGAGGGAGAGCAGAGCAGAGCTACCCACATGCTTTCAATGAGTAAGGTTCAGTAAGGGTTTTTCGTGCAAGGGTGGATGGTGGAGGAGTGGAGCACGTGGAGGCCCAGATTGGTCTAGGATTTTACCTTGACGCTAGGCCTGTAGAGGCGCGAAGAAAGGCGACGGGGCGAGGGGTGGGGGTCAAAACTAGCTATGTCGTATTGAATAAGTTGGCCATTTACTGGGTGACCTAAAACATTATTTTGAAAAATAAGTCATAATTTTGAGACACCTCATAATCATCATTATCGAGATAGGCTCTTGATCTTAGTAACTAACAAAATTGTTTTCAGACGTATTCCACGTCGTATTTTTTCATCTTTCGGATAATAGTCCCCACTGATATATTACCGGTAAATATTGTTTTGGAAAATTCAACCAATTTTGCTGGTATTAGTTAAATAACTACCGCACACAACAAACATCCACGACAAACTACAGGTTGCTGTGACGTTTTCCCTATAGTTAATAAACAATGGGTAATATATAAACAGACACTTAGCCTATGCCTACGTACCTTGATTTATATCATATGAGTCTATATATCACTGGTAGGCAGAAGGATAATGAAATCAGTCTTCAATTTCTTCCAAGGTGAGAAGAGTCACCGCAATTCTTGACTTTAACAGCTCTTCACTTCTGTCACTTTTACTAAACAATTGCTCGACATCCAACAAAATTCTGATGATTTCGTCCAAGCAACAGTTTAACCACCTACAGTAGACTTTTTTCTCTTGTGTATAGAGAATTACTAGAAATTGCGGTAAGGATGACGTCGTAAAGATTCCATGCGAGAGATCAAATCTACAGCCCTCTCGGACGTTATGGGACGAACGTGTTGTACTTTTCACCCCTTAACAGCACGTATTTTAAACACACGCATCTACAGGTATTCTGTTCTTTAAATGGTTACAACCAAGTCCAGACACAAATCTCCGCTGGGTAGCTCCCACGCTTAGCGACACGACCAATATACCAAAGAACGACACCCCGATGGAGAAGGGTCTTGTTGTAATAAGCTCACTCCTTTTGGCGTTGTAATCAGTCCACGTTTACCTAATGGCTGTGACACCGGTACATCTGATATTAGAACACAGTATTTTTAGCACATGTACAGCTTTAAAGCAAACTCACAGTTTAACTGCTCTATTATGCTGGTTGGTTTAAGTCGTCTCTCCGAAATATCACTCGACATCCATTCCCAAATCAGCCAAACGAAATCCCAAATTGGCGACCGCTTATGCCAGCGTTAAGCAGCGCTTGTCATGATTTAATTCACTTATATGATGATTTGTATCTTCAAGTTAAATGTCACTTGGATTCTGTTCCCGACTGATAACTTAAACGTCGTAGAGCGCCCCCTCTTCGGACTCTTTACGTGACTGCTGTAGTACCTGATTGCCTATGGCGCGTGTAGCCATAGGGTCTCTAGCCTTAGGGTCTATATGTCTCAACGAATTCGTTTACACACCGTATACTTCCTCGATCCACTTTATCTTAGCTGTACCCACGTAATCTGCTGAAGTGTAATAAACTACCTTGTTGCGATAGTTACCACAGCCTAGAAACCATCATATTATTGGATCCTAGGCACAAGACGAGTTAAACAGTCTACACTGTACAAGTCACGATGATCCAGCAGTACTACGACATTAACTACCTGTGGATCACCTGTATATATGTGTCACGTCACCCTTAAACAGTCAAATCTATCTCAGACATATACACGTTAGTAACGTACTAATCCTACAATCTCATTGATAATCTGAACTCACAGTACAAAGTTTGTGCAGGTCAACTCAGCGTGTAAACATTCCCAGGTAAATAACTATAGCGTATGTTGTTCCGGTCTGAATAGCGGGTTTATAAATAGTTTATTTGAAAATGTATTTACCTGTGTTTTTATATTGCATTCCTATTGACTAAGATATTTTCTTTTCTTCATTTATTTATTCATTTATTATTATTATCACGAATATGGATTGATAGGATAATGTTTGTTTTTCGAATTTAGGGCCTATGAAATTATGAACAATCTGTCTAAAATAATCTCTCCAGCGGATCATGGCTGTCAAGTAATGGGGATATAGCCAGAATCCAACTTAAAAAATTATGATCTACAGATATAGCATTCTCCTAGTAATGATACAGTGTAAATAATATTGAGAACACATGTGCGGTGGCGACATGAATAACATATACTTCCTATGGGAGCAGTGTCTTCTTGTTATTTGTAGTTACAGAAATGAACGAGTGACCAGGGAAGGAGTTCCATTGACTTTTATAAAATTTGCAGGCGATTAATGTGCGGCGAGGGAAAATATTAACCGGCAGACTTGCGTCCCCAAGGTATCCTAATATGATGAAAAAGCTCCGCTCACTCTAATTCATACGTTCGGCTACATGTTCACTTTTCTTGGAACAGTAAGACTTCTCAAATCCTCACGTAGATGACAAATTATTATCGTATTTGCAAGATAAATTGTTACTTCCGTGTCATATTCATCAGTGCAACTCTCAGGCTAGTCTCTGCATGCTATATTAAAATAGTACGATAAATATTTGATCTTTTGGGAGGAAAAAAAAAACAAACAGAAATTGATCATTGTGTTTTGTTTATTTAATTCAGTAATGTACATACGACATTACATATTAAACTATTATACAAATATATAAATATATACACATCATTTGCAATATTTATTATAATCATCTGGACAAGTCCTTTGTGTCACGTTTCTTTATGCCACGTTTCTGTTCCCTTTTTTTTTTTCAACATCGATTCCTTATCTTTGAATACAATTTCAATTATATCTTTGATATTCTGAGATCAAAAGAAGTAAAATAAATATTTTTAAAAACTTCTGATTTTTTCTTTTTCTTTTTCAAGAATCCCAAATAAATCCTTTTCAGCATCAGACTTCTGGACTAAAATGGTCACTTTTACATCACAATTTACAGCCAAAATATAATAAAAGAAAAATAACATAAAAAAGTCATGCCCAAGTTCCTTCCCTGATTTTTCCAGCAAAGCACACTTAGTGTGAATCATGTGACAACCACGTGACTGCAGCGTGATTATCACGTGACTCCACCGTCACTGGACGGCCCCCTCTTGTTCACGCCTGCTGAAACTCCAGGTTAAGCACTCTGGTGGGAGGGATCTCTAGCTCCGCGTTCACCTTGGAGTTTACGTACTGGTGTAGCAGCATGCGGAGCTCGGCGTTCTGTTGTCTCAGACCGTCCGTCTCCGTGATTAGCTTGGCTCGGCTCTGTAGGCAGTCACTGGAATGTAGGGGAGAAAATACTTAATAAATACTTTATATGATAATATTTAAGGATTTTTCATAATGTTTGGGGCAAGGCACCAGAAGGTCAGATCTTTAAAATAATATGGCATTTCAGATGCTTAACTATAAAATTCATAAATGAATCAATATTTAAATAAAGTGTGAATAATTAAATGGCAAATAATAACAGAAGCAACAACACAAAATCACCAAGCAATGATATTAAGTCAACTGAATAGGCAGAAAATAAATAAATCTGAGTTAATAAATTATATAAAGAAGTCAGTTCAACGAAGCTGTGAGAGGAAAATACTAACCTGTACATTTCTAACCCATCCAGAAGAGCGTCCCACATTCTCTCTGTCTTCTCTGGAAGAATGGAGCAATATTTTTTCCAGTAGGCAGCGTCATCTGCATCGTCCCTGTCTTCAGTATTTGCAATCTTGAATTGGGGCTGCTTAGACTTTTCTCTGTAAAAACAGAAAAAAAAAATGAAGAACCAATTTTTGAAACGATCAATAAATGATAAAATAACTAAGAATCAATAAATATTAATAATATTAATGGTAATTAAATACTATTATAACCTACTGCATTCACATTAACTATGGAATAGAACCAAGAGAGAGAGAGAGAGAGAGAGAGAGAGAGAGAGAGAGACTCACTTTGTTGGCTGCCACTGTTCCTCCACAAACACCCTGAGTGCCTTGTACACATCGTTGGGATGGATCAGCTCCGTGACCTCACTCTTCACTGACCTTGGGGTCACCACCTCCTCCCCATCCTCCATCACTTTCTGCAGCTCCTCAGCCACTTCAGCATCCTCGGCCATCTGGAAGACAAATACAGCATCAACTTTCCGTCTGGACTAAAAATCATTACCTTTTCTGACAAGACAAAAAAAAAAAAACAACAACAAACATATATATTACCACCAAATGTAATGTAACTTTTCTTAAAAGACAAACATCTTGACCTTATGACAAGACAAAAAATGTACACTTTTATGCATAACAACCCCCCAAATTATGACTGACTATAAAGAGTAAAAATGTCAGTGGGTTATACCTCATCTGTCTGAGTTCCTTCTTCACCTTCCTTTTCTGGTTCACCATCCTGCAGTGAGGAAAAAAAATAATTAAACAACCTTTTGATGACTGAAAGTAGTTTCTTTTAAGTTTGTGAGATGTTAATGTAACAACTGAAGAAAATGCTATCCCCACTTAAAAAATGGTGGTTCAAAAAATGACCATTTTCCCCATACCCTATCCTCAATAAAAAAGGTCCAATTAAATAAAGTAAAATTAATAATAATAAATAAATTCTTCACCTGTCTCTCTACCTCTACCACCGACTGTTTCCTGCTGCCTTGCCCGCTCTGAGCACGCTCTGTGGCCTGGCGGAACTTGGTGAAAAAATTGGACAGCCTGTAGATGTCGTCTTCTGTTTCCACTCCCAGGGCCTGAAATTAAGTAGTGTTTTTTTACAAATTATACAATATATAATATAAGATATAAGAAGAGGCCTACTGTATCAATAATGTTATAATTATAAACTAGAACTGCGTAATGACACAGCATAAGAAATTGTAGCACTGTAAGATGGTGGGACAGCTGATAAGGTAAACATGAAACATACAAAAATTCTTTGTATCTGACATATTGCTTGTAATAAATGAATTCAGATCATTATCATCATCTTACATTATACCAATAATGTGCTATAATTACAATTTTAATCACTTTGCAGCTCACTTGAACATTTTTTTAGGAAAAGGAAAAATAAAGAACAATAACATCTTCTTTCAAAGATATCCAACCTTTTTCAAGTTAGTCACAAAATCTTTAAAAAACTTACAGCAAAGATAGCATCCAATTTCATGAGGGACTGCTCATCTTGTTCCAGTGGTGCTAGGAGTTTCACCAACTTATTTTCAACTAGGAAACCCTGAAAGAAAATAAACAATAGGTTAAATATGGACTACAACTTTTTAGTTACTTGTACTTTGGTGAAGAAGAATATTTCATTGGCGGATGATAAGTGAGCTGTTAACAAAAAATGAATCTTTCGCAGTAACCAACAAAATCCAATCATTTGGACTCACCACACATATTGCATATAAAATCTTAATTCTATCAATATTCAATTTTGTATAAAATTAATACATTCAATTTGCTACCAGCTTATATTTTACTTACACAATAAATGCGGAGTCATCTGAAAATTACTGAATCATGGCAATATTGATACAAGTAGAAATCCATTAAAAAACAAACAGATACAAAAATTATACCTCCCTACCCCCAATTTTTTAAAATCGACATGACCACCCATCACCACATTTTGAACTCACCGATTCATCACACAGGAGCTCCAGTATTTTCTTAATAGTATGAGCTGAGAACTTCTGAGTTATGGTGCTCTTCACAGTCTCGCCTTGCTCGCTCTTGGTGGCCGGATCCTTTAACATGGAGCCATGGTGGTACTCACTGCCCTCTTCTTCTTCTCCTGGCTCAGGACGGTATGGCCTGTCCACTGGGTCTGCCACAGGCTGGTCACTGACTCCACCTAGGGGATGGACACAGGGTTATATATATATATATATATATATATATATATATATATATATATATATATATATATATATATATATATATATAGCTTGCCATATATATATGTGTGTGTGTGTGTGTGTGTGTGTGTGTGTTACAACTATAATTACTAATGCCTCATACCTACTTGTACTATGTATATTATGTATGTTTGTGTTGGAAAAAAAACTTGTTGGATGGATATGAAGTTTATTCATCAGCCTATCATATCCACCCCACCCCACCCCCCCAAAAAAAAAGAAAAAAAAAGACCCATGACATGCCCTACCTGTCTGTGACATGACTTCCTGTACCACCTGTGTGGCAGACACCTGTTGTCTCTTTGTCTGTTCACTTAGTATGGGGCCAACATTGTCCATGAACTCACTGGAATTAGTGAGAAATAATATTATTAAATACAAATAATTTCTATTTTTTTGGACCAAAAAGTTGAAAAACATACATCTGGTTATCATGTTGCTAGTGTTTGTATAAATTAATTAACTTATTAAAAAAAAATAACATGACAAATTTTTTATGGAATGTGCTTGGTCTTCTGCGACCTAGATAACTATTTACACCAATCAAAACTGCAAATCCATCCAACTCAAGCAAAGGAAAACCAAATCACAGAATACACCATGCCACTCCTCTCTTATTTTCCCCCCAATTTGTCAGAACACAACTTGGACCAAATATTCTCGTCCAAGTCAATATTAGTCTGAACGCGCTGTATAGAACCACTTACAGATCAGGCTGGTCCCATCTCAGACCCAGCTGGTGTTCTGTGACAATCCTGTCTTGCTCGCAGACCTTCTCCACCAGTTCTTTGGCCTCGGCCTCGTTCATTATCCAGATGTCTGTGAACTTCTTGTTGTCTGTTGTGATGAAATGTCTGGAAGGAAATGAGTCGACACTGAATCAAATTCGTCAAAATGAATGAATGGATTGATGAATTATTAGTCACTGCAACAATATTTTGCCAGAAAACATGCATAAGACTTTACGTTACTCACTTAAACATGTTTAACAGTCTCATTATATAACAGCTTTGCTGCATTTGTTAGCTTTACCATATAAGCCTGAGGGAAAATCTGTGACATCTTTGCACCCCAGGGTCTTTAAATGCCTATAGCCAGCTGAGGACATGTCACTGTTGCTTTAAATCACTGTTTTATGAGTCAGATAGGTGGCAACCATATTCTTACATGACCTGTATCGTAGACCCTACCTTGACTTTTTCTGTAACTCCATGAACTGTTCAGTTATCCTCTTATAGTCTTCTGTCAGCTGAGAGTTCTCATCCCTAAACTGTTTCTCCTGTTTGGCCAGTTTAATCCTCAATGTGTTCATGACATCTTGAAGTCTGTGTAGAAAAATGAGATAAAGATCAGAAGCATAAAATTTTAAAACTAAAAAATATATCCTCCTTGTCTGAGGTAATAATTTGACACTCATGCTAGCATATGTGTCACAGCATACATTTTTATACCAAATGCTCAAATTAATTTAAGCTGGACTGAAATTTAAAATAGACATATTTTTTAGATTTTTATTTTTCATGAATTTTAGTTTTGATGATGGAGGGGTGATTAATAACTCCATTTTACAAACATTTCCCCAATGCCTTTACCTGGTAATTTTCCTTTTCTGTTGAGACTTTGTGATGGTGTTTTCCTCGTCCCTCTTTTTCAGGACCTGGAAGTTATACTCCAGTTTTTCCTGGTTAAGTTGGAAGGTGGCCCTCATGAGCTGTATTTGTTGCTCTAAGAGCTGGAATAAGAGATAAACCTTAGTTATTATATTGTTTGTTTTCATAAATATCTTTTAAAATATCAAAAATGTTCACACTTACAGGTCACTAAGAAGACAACATGAAACAGCTCTCAATTTAATTTTAAAATCAGTTAGTGTTCAGTTAAAGAAAAAAAACATTGCTAAAGTTTTCATTAATGTGGCTTGTTAATGAGTAACTTTTTCATCAACCTGAAAACATAACATTGCAGAATCATGGAAAAATAATAATTATTAAATAAATAAATAAATAAATAAATAAATAAATAAATAAATAAA